TTGATTTCAGAGAGGAAGGGAGAGGGAGAGGGAGGGAGGGGGGAGAGAGGGAGGGAGGGGGAGGGAGGGGGAGAGAGAGAGAGAGAGAGAGAGAGAGAGAGAGAGAGAGAGAGAGAAAATATGAATCATTGATTGGTTGCCTCCTGCATGCCCCCTACTGGGGATCAAGACCACAACCAGGGCATGTGCCCTTGACCGGAATTGAACCTGGAACCTTGAGTCCAGGCCGATGCTCCATCCACTGAGCCAAACCAGTCTGATCTATTTTAAAGTGTGAATGACTTTGCAAATTTAGCCAAAAATCAAAGAAATTGACTATCACTTTTAGGCAGTAATTTATAGTGTCTGTAAGGAAACAAGAGAAGGCTTTGAGAACATACTTTCCTCCTGGTGCTTGCATGAATCTTGGAAAGATCTTTGACCTTATCTGTGAGCCAAAAAATGTTTAGGAAACTCTGGAGCAGTGAGATTTCGTGCTCGCTGATAGATTTATGCTATAAATAAGCCTCATTTATGAACTTGGTTAAAAATCTCTGATGCATTTCCCATTTTACAGCCATGTTCTCTGAACTCCTATTGTCCTCACTGTCTGTGCTGCTCATGCTGACATCTGTTTTTGGAACTTTTGGTTTTCCTACACTGTGCTTACTTTTTAAAGGAACACGTCACCTATTACCCTCAACCACAGCCAGGATATCAGTTTAAGGTGAAACGAAGTACAACTTAAATGAAGTCAAACTTGCCTAGAAACAATCTGTAGCAAACAAATGTGCATACAGAGCTGAGTTAGAACTAAACGCCCTCCCCGCTTTCTTGAGCCTGGGTTCCTAACAACAGAAAGAGTTCACTGTTTCTCTGTCGCATCAGGGCTCATCCCAGGAGCATAAGGCTTGACATGAACTCTGCCTTATTACACCCTCATTTGAGCAGCTGCATTAGAGCGCAGCTGCGTCTGTGTTTGCTGACGCACTTGGAGCAGGAAAGCAAGGCTTTTAGCAGTTTCCCGGAGCCCGGCCCCGGATCCAGGCCTTATTAAGCCCCTTCCCTCCTTACTTGGCGCAAGATTTCACCTTAGGCACCAGAACAATGCCTCCCTCCACCCCGCCCCTGCTGTGAGAAGTGAACTAAAATGAGCACTTGCCATTTTAAAATTTTTAATAAAAAATTATACCAGTAAGCTGTTAAGACACTTTGAGTGGCTTTGAGAGTTTGTTTTTAAAATTGATTCTGAAATTTATGCTTCTGGGTTGGGACTTGCCTCTTGAGCATTAAACAAAAAAATTATCATGTGTTATTTTTTTCAAGAAAAGATTGAATTTTAGCTTTGGGCTGTCAATAATGTTACCTGGAAATTCAGTTCAGTACTTCTCTGGTTGTGGGAGCACAGCTTCGCGGACGCCGGGTTAGATGAAGACATGAGTGTCGTTGGCATATAGAGGAGAGAGTTCATTGCAGACCAAGTGGCCATTGCTGCTGCAGGAGCCATGGGACAGAGCAGTCCTTCACGGCAGCCCCCCAAAAGCCGGCTGCTCAGTGGCAACTTACATACGCGCTCACACGCAGCGGCCTCTGCCAATTAGAGACGCTCGTGCTGCATTAACATCAACAGGTTACATAAGGGTGCGCTTGCGCAGTGTGTATACTGCTACTCATGGTCATTGCCCTCGCACCTGCGTAGGCAAAGGGGCCTTGCACCTAACAATACTGCTGTGCCCTCGCCTGCACGCATGCGTATGGCAAATGGGCCTTGATTATCTGGCTACTCTGAGTAGGGGACCACACAGGCGCAAAATCAAAGTGAAGAGCCATACAAAGTTGAGAGTCTGGGACTAGGACAAGGGTAGAGGAAAACTTCTGAAACACTATTAGAAAGTATATTGCAGCCCCAGCTGGTTTGGCTCAGTGGATAGAGCATCAGCCTGCGGACTGAAGGGTCCTGGGTTCGATTCTGGTCAAGGGCATGTACCTTGTTTGCAGGGACCATGCGGGAGGCAACCAATGGATGTGTTTCTCTTCGGTGTTTCTGTCTCTCCCTCTCCCTTCCACTCTCTCTAAAAATCAATGAAAAACATGTACTCAAGTGAGGATTAAAAAAACCAAACTGTGTAAAAAAAGTATATTACAAAGAACATCTTTTTCCTTTAAAAACAAGAATAAATTCAATAAAAACAACAAAAACAGGATTCTTATTATTGAGAGTAGAGCAGAATTCCAAACACTGTCAAAATGAATATAATTCTCCTTAAACTTATGCTGCTACTGAAGTTGAATGTCCATGAGTGGGAACCTTATTTTGAAACAGCTTTATTGAGGTCTAATTTACATACCATAAAACCCACTGCTTTTAAGGTCAGGGAGCCATCCTTTTAATGTCATTATATAATAGTCACAAGAGCTACTTCTCATTCTGTGGTAATGCTTCATGAGTCATCGATACAGTAAATATTTTGTTGTTATGTCAACAAGGGAGTCCCAGGCAGTGGTCATAATTTGATAAGGAAGATTGTAGAATCCTGTAAGAAATCTTATCAGAGGTATTGGTTCCATTACTGAAACCCGAGGTTCTCAAACAAGTCTGTGACATACAGCTTTCCACCCAAATAGGAATTTATGACACATGCCTCCTCCCCTGCCAACCCCCCTCCCCCGGGGGATTTATGAGGCAAGGTACTTCCAATTTGGAGAAAATAGAAAATGCTAATTGAAGATAATGTCAACATTAAAAAAATTAAGAATAAATGAGCCTGGCCGGTGTGGCTCATGGTTGAGCATCGGCCCAGGAAGCAAGAGGTCACTGGTTCTATTCCAGGTCAGAGCACATGCCCCGGTTGTGGGCTCAGTCCCCAGTAGGGGGTATGCAGGAGGCAGCTGATCTATGATGTTTCCCTCATTGATGTTTCTATCTCTACCTCTCTCTAAAAATCAATAAAAACATATTTTTAAAAAAGAATATATTACATCCAGCTGATAAGGAGATACTGTTAATTGCTAGCTGCTTTTAAAGTAATTTCTTGCTAATTAGGTCCTGAGAGAATCCTGACCCAGGAACTGGGAAATTTGGTTTTGGGTCCTGCCGCACTACTTACAAGATGCTGGTACATCCTCTTGTTTACTCATAATCACTGGGCTTAGTTTCCCATGGATTAAATTGGGGCTAGGATGGTCCCTGACTAATTTAGAAAGTTTTAATTAGGGGCAATGGAAATAGTGCATGCAGAAATTTGCTTTGCTGTCCACAAAGTGCTGTACCATTGAAAGATGTTACTTTTATTATCACAAGTCAAAAAAAATTTCCTATGTGAATCAAAATAATCTTCAAATAGTTGTGTCTTTCTGTATGTGGCTTGATGTATTCCAAGATCAACACATGTGGCTCTGTTATAAGCAGCTAGACCAGTGGTTCTCAACCTTGGCTGCACATTAGAATCACCTGGGAATCTTTTTTTAAAATCCTGATTTCTGGGCCTCATCCTCCGGAAATTCTGTTTCTTTGTTACTAATGTTGTGGCCTCACCCCATAACAAAGAAACAGAATTTCCAGAGGATGAGGCCCAGAAATCAGGATTTTAAAAAGATTCCCAGGTGATTCTAACGTGCAGCCAAGGTTGAGAACGACTGAGCTAGACAGACATGAGCAGAGCAAGGATGATGGGTTGGGTGCAGAAGGTCACCAGGGCTGAAGCCCTGGGTGTCTAGCAAGGGGCAAAACTGGGACAACAAGAACCTCACCCCCAGAGTAACCTTTCCACCCCTAGCATATCGCTGTGCATGTGGAGTGGACCCCCTGACCTTTTCCTCCCTAAAGATAACATGTAGGCCTCAGCTCCAGGACCAGAAAAGCAGCAAAGCCAGACAAGTGATGCTGTGGCTGCCCCAGGACCAGCTGCATTGACTGATGACCCCCTGCCCTGGGGCAGACCAATCAGGGGAGAAGGAGACCCTGAAAAAGCACATCTGGAAAGCTGATGAATATTCTATTGAGATCCTCCCCTAAGATTCCCACCTGCAAGAGAGAAAGAGAAATACCCTCAACACAAAAGACCCAGTGAGTGCTCTCCCGCAAGGGAGCACTCCTGAACTGTTCCCCTCTCCCTCTTCTTCCCCCACAGGCACGTATCCCCTAACCTCTAAGGGACCCCACAAGGCTTGCAACCAAGGGAGCAGTGGGCAGTGGCATATTGTCCTGGCAAACCCCCTGAACCTGTCTCCCTTTTCTCTGACTTCCCAGTGAGCCAAAGCAGCCCAGCCCAGGCTCTCTTGATACTTTCTCTATGCCCTTCCATGTTTCACTGTCCTAAGTGTGTTTTTGCTGTGGACAATAAATTCTTGCTTGCTTTGCTGAACTTTGTCTCTTGATTGAAATCTTCCCTTCAGGAAGACAAGGACCGAGGTTTCATCGTCTTGCCGGCACCAGCTGTATGTTGACACAGCTAGGCCTTTGTTCCATATGGGACAATAAGGAGTTAGGATGAATTTCCTACCTGCACCTTCACCTTCACTTTCTTACTGCCACTTCCCATCCTTTTTAAAAAAATATATTTGTATTGATTTCAGAGAGGAAGGGAGAGGGAAAGAGATAGAAACATCAATAATGAGAGAGAATCATCCACTGCTGCCTCCTGCATGGCCCCTGGTGGGGATTGAGCCTAACATTCTGGCCTGTGCCCTGACTGGGAATTGAACCATGATCTCCCGGTTCATAGGTTGATGCTCAACCACTGAGCCACTCTAGCCGGGCTCATTATTGATGTTTTTATCTCTCTCTCCCTCGCTGAAATCAACAAGAATATATTTTTAAAAATTTAAAAGAATTGAGAAGATGATGCAAATGCATCATCTTGGTTTCTCTCGAGTTTCCTTTAGCTGTCCCCTACTCATCTAGCTAGCCTACCTGAAAGCATTTAAGATAAGAGGGTCAGTTTGTGTGCCTAGTTTGTGTGACTGAAGTACCAGTGAGAGTGCTAATAACCCACTACCTTCCTTCCTAACGTCATACTTACTAAACAGTAGCTCCACTGTCCATGCAGGTCCCACCGTTGCCACAGTTTATTAAGCTACAAGGAGAAGCATCACACTGGCCAACGCTGAGCCCAGCATCTGGGTGGCCCTTAGGATTTCCCAGCCTTCTGAAATGGCCGTCCTTCCTGGTGCAAACTTGAATAGTGAAAACACAACCTTGAAGGAAGGGTAAAAGAATTCATATAAAAAATGGAGGAAATAGATAAAGCAGAAAGACAAGTTATTTTCTCATTTTTAAGGTAACATATTGTTCTTTTTTAAATTTTATTAATTGGATGATGGATATGTTAACTAACTTGATAATGGTACTCTTCACAATGTATATGTATACCCAACCATCCCATTATACACATTAAATATATGTAACTTTTATTTGTCAATTATACATCATGAAAGCTGGGAAAAAAGAAAGGTCTTTTCCACCCCAATATTATATAAACATAACTAAAAGGGCAGTCGATTAGCTAATTAATGGAATTGTTTGGGATACTGAACTGTATTGTAATTTTCCTCATTTCCTTCAGGACTTAGAGTTTATTTACAATGTGCTATAAATCAATATTGACAACAACCATAAATAGGGTCTAGAAAATGATAGCAGATAGGCTAGATTAGATTTTATTTCTAAAACATTTTCTGAAGCAAGTCTGAAATAATTCCTCATGGTGAAAAAAAAAATAGGTTCAGTTTTGAAAGGTCAAGAATATGCTTGTTAACTTAACTTAGTTCTCCCTGACAAGCACCATCCTCAGCCTGCACCGATATTTTCTCATTGTAAGAGAACTGTCATTTTCTTCCTTAGATTTAATCTTTGTTCTTCTCCCAACTACTGCTATTATGCAAAAAAGCACTAATATGGTATGCTGGGTGAAGAAGTGAATGAATGAATGCCAACTGCTTTATATGGAATGTCCAGGTAGCTCAACTAACACCGCAGGGATCTGCATGCCACTGCCTAGTGAACTGTACTCAGCAGAGAGCAGAAGGAGGATTGAAGTCAGGTGGGTCCGGGTTCAATGACAATCTCTCTCACAAAATGACTAGATGACCCAAACCTAACTAAGTGCCAATCTTTTTACATTTAAAATGGGGACAAAAATAAGTACTCCATGGGTTAAGAGGAATAAGGTAACATACATAAACTGGCCCCTATCATGATTGGCAGTTAAGGCCTTATATTTCAGCTCCCACCCATACCCCCTTCCTCACTGTCTCAGAAATTCTTTATTTACTTTATTAAAAAAATTCTCTTTAACAAAAAGTTGTAGGGTACCAGAATTAGATTTTTGTAGTTTTTATAATCATGCACACAAAAAACTTGGCTAATGATTATAATATATATTAATGTCTGAAGCTGTTCATGTAAAACCTCTCCCCTTTTATATGGATAGGAAATAATTTTGTTATGAGGAACTGCTCAAATATTTTTGACTAAAAACCTGGCAGTGATATATGTAGAGAAACATTTAGCACATACAAATAGTTACATGTGTTTATTTTAGAGAGATACTTCTAGTCAGTCAACATATCATCAGCTTAAAGGCAATTATAGTGGAAGCCATTTGTAGAAGGCATATTGTAAAACGCCACTCCTATTAATATTGAAGATGAAATATAGTCTGCTTAGTACAGTATCATGCAGCAGGTATTCACTACATCTATCCTGCAAGTGATACAGTAATTATGATAAAGATTTTTGGAGCCATGAGCCATGTGTCAAATATACTAGTCAAATATACTAGGTTTCAAATAAGTGATGGCTTTATTTATTTATTTATTTTTGGTCAGTAAAATGATATTTAAATTATTGCAGTAACCTCATTTTCCCTCCTTATGGACTCTGGTTTGAAAAAGTTCATGCAATTAAAAAAGAGAAAGGGAGAAAAGTTGAACTAAAGAAACTGTACTGACAGTGTAGGGCACTTTCAGGTTGGAATAACATCCTTAAAGTGTTGTTAATGAATCTGGATCTATTTTATGTCCACTCTGTTCAGCTGAGTAATAAATATTTAATCATCCCTGTATCAGAGAACACTAGCTGCTATAACACTAGAATAACAGATAGATGGGATAATAGATTCCCCATGTTCACACTTGTCAAAAGCAATTTTTAATTCTATGTCAGGATTAAATAGGCCGGTCAGTGAAAGTAACAGACCTTAGAACATTGGTGAAAGCCATAGGCCTTCTCCTAGAAAAATGCACACAATTGCATGCATGATTTCAGGAGACTCAGGAACCCACGAGACCCCATCCCTCACCCTCAGCCTGAGAGCCTGCAGCTGGTAACAGATGCTACTTTGGAGAGCAGGGGAGAATTCCCTTTACTAGGACAGGTAATCAGGAATGACCTCTTTGCTTGGCATATGTAGATGATTTAATCTGGAGAAGAGTTAAAAAACCTCAATATCCTTATCACTGTTAAAGGTTATAGGGAAAATAATGACTCATGATAAGCCATTTCCAGAACAGAAACAAACGGACTACATTAACAGTAACGATTTGTATTTTAGACTGAGGACTTCTGGCTTAGGGTTGTTTATCAGCAGTGTTCATAGAAACAGGGAAAGCCTAAATCAGATAGTCTTGTACTCTGTGTGATTTAATCCCCATTCTAAAGAAAAATAATCAGGCCTTATTTATTTGTGTTAGGGATGTTAGAATTTAATAATTAGGCTAAGGCCAGACTAACTACTAAATTCTTCCATAGCTCTACATGCTTTGTTATGATTAATTAATGTAGTGATTTCCAAATCTGGGAAGGCTTACTTGAAATGCAAATTTTTAGATCCCATTATGGAGATTTTGATTGAGTGGTTTTGGGGTAGGGCTCAGAAGTCCATATTTTAAAGAAGTCACCCTATATCCTTCTCTAGAACCAGTAGAGTTCAGTTTTGGGAAAGCATAGGTTTACGGTTTAGTTGCAATCTGGTATTTATGGTAGGTTGATAATGATTGTCCACAACCTACAGTTCATAGTAAATGCTGGTTTATAATGGAGAAGAGGCAGACAGGAAGGGAGAATTCAAGAGTCAAATGATAAAATTAGGCCCTGGAGCGTCGGTAAGATTGTGGATTAAGTGTCAAGTTCCAAGAGGACCCTCCCCAAATTCCCATCCTACCTGAGGACCGTGGTGCTGGCAGCCTTCCAGACCTGCTGTCCCGAGCTTCTCTCATAGGAGGGCCAGCTGTTTGAGTGCTGAACTCGGGTTCATAACACACAGAAGGAGAAAATGACAGGTTTTGAAGAAAGCCTCTCTTTGTTCTCATTATCAAGATGTGAAGAACAGTTCCTAATAAAGGGAAGAAAATAACACAAGCAAACCAGGAAGCTTTGGACTCCAGTAAATCTGAAAATGTCAAGTCCAATGACAACAGGATGGAGTGCCGCTATTAGTTAACATTTATTGAGTGTTTATCAGGTGCTGCTTTCTGGGTTGAGCACTTAACATTACTTTAGCTAATTGATCAACTCACGAGAACCCTATGGGGTAGGTATTTTATCTTACAGAGGAAAAGTGGAGGTTTGGGGAGTTGAAGTAAAAGGCTTAGAGGAACACAGCTGCTGGGTGGCAGGGCCCGAATCTGAAGACAGCCCGACAGCAGGCTGTGCTCTCACCCACCGTCCGTGCAGCAGAGAAAGAGAAGCGAGTGTGTGACCGCGGCTCTGTCACCTCCACCACCACCATCACTAGCACAGGGAGCACGCTAAGCCAGGAGGTAACCTGTGTTCTCTTTCCATTAACTCGCTCTCAGAACTACAAGCAAGACAAGTGTGGCTAGCATCCCATTTTACAGATGAGGCACAGCGAGGCCCAGGGACGTTCGGTTACTAGCCAGGGTCACGAAGCTTGTTGGTGGCAGAGCTGAGGTGCATACCCAGGCAGATGGGTTCCGAGCCCACATTTTTATCCTTAGTGCTGGATCCAGAGTATTTATGTCAGCATCATGTCTGTGATTAAATGACAGCAAATTCTGATGACTCTCCAATGGGGTCTCTGTTTCATTGAGTGGAAGATGTGTGCTTCTTACACATTCATAAGTTTACCCATCCTTTCCCTCCAACTGAATGTTTTTAAAAACTCCTTGATTTGTTACGCCCTCACAATCCTTTCCAGACGGTCTCCTGCTGTGAAAGCACTACTGAGCTCCCGATCATATTTAGCCTAGCGCCTTAACTTGCTTCAAACGGTTCTTTAACACACCCTTCTGAGAATCAGCACTGATTACATAGTCAAAGAAAACGTTTCTTTGAGAGCCCTGGCACAATGAACTACTTGTATTGAAACCCGCCCTTGTATTATGTTGGATTAGCTGTGTTGCTTTCAATATGTTTCAAGTATGTGGCCTCCTGCGTCAGTGTTTAGGCAGAAGTTGGTGAAGGTGGGGAAAGGGATGGTGCCAGGCAGGCAGAGAGCTCAAGTGCCGGAGAGAGCTTCGGATGCCTCACAGGGACCTGCATCCCACCCTGGTACCTGCTCCTTGGTTTTGGATAGAGAGTAGGCTGGTCATGGGAGAATGGCTCAGGACACTAGAATGAGCAGCCCCTCGACCAAATATTCTGGGACTAAGGATCCACCAAAAAGCTTATTTTCACAAAATGCATACAGTGATGGCGAACCTGTGACACGCGTGTCAGAGGTGACACGCGAACTCATTTTTTGGTTGATTTTTCTTTGTTAAATGGCATTTAAATATATAAAATAAATATCAAAAATATAAGTCTTTGTTTTACTATGGTTGCAAAAAATTTCTATATGTGGCACGGCACCAGAGTTAAGTTAGGGTTTTTCAAAATGCTGACACGCCGAGCTCAAAAGGTTTGCCATCACTGCATTATAACAATTCAAAGCATGTGTTTATTTTATAACTGCTATGAATCACTTTTATAGGAAAGATGTGAATGTATGTTCCCTTTTGAACACAGGAAACATGATGGCGATCTGATTATTTGCCCAAGCATGGTGTTGGGTCTTTTTTCTTTTTTAAAAAAATATGTTTTTATTGATTTTAGAGCAAGACAGAGGAAGCGAGAGGGAGAGAGAAACATTGAACAGAGGAAATCTGATTGATTGGCTGATTGATTGGCTGCCTCCTGCAGGTCTCCTACTGGGGAGCGAGCCTGCAACCAGGACCTGTGCCCTGACAGGGAATTGAACCAGTGACCTCTCAGTGCATGGGACAGCGCTCAACCAACTGAGCCACACTGGCCAGGGCTGGTGTTGGGTCTTAATCCTCTTGGTTTCTGGTGGCCTCAGTGGGGCTATACCTTGGTGGTATGGATTAGTTGGCTGCAGTCTGTCACTCATCTTTTATATCAACTACATCCCAAAGTTGGCTGGAATTTCAATTTTCACTGTGACTCCATGAGGTCTACACTACGCACCCTATATTAAAAAGCACCCTATATAAAAAACCACTCACATTCGACTTTTCCTTTCTTTTGCTCCACAGAACTTATCACCTTCTACCACTATATAACTTCCTTATTTATTATATGTAGTGTTTATTATCTCTTCCCTCTTTTGACTAACTAGAATCTAAACTCACAAGTGTAAAAATCTCTGTGTTTTTTTCCCACGGAAACACCCCAAATACCTAGCACATAGGTAGTAAGTGATTAATAAGAATAAATGCTTTCCTTTAAAATCAAACTTTGATTAAGTCCAATCAGAAAGCAATCCAAATTGCTGGTTTGGGAACTAGAAGTATACTCTTTAAATGTTTTTTCTTTTCCCAAATTTTGAGACAAGTGGGTATAGTGTAAATATCATCCATGCCTTACCTTGAAAGCCATTTTTAAAATCGGCTCCATTTGGCAAGAGATCTGGAGTGTCTTCACTGTAGCCACCTACATAAAACTGACTGAAGACATTGAGACCAACCAGTCTTCCTGGGGAGATGATGGGTTTATTTTGATGATCATCAACCTTCAAAAGGAAAAAAAAAAATCAAAACCTATTAAAAAACAAATTAATTCCCCAGGGTGAACTGTTAAGATACTCTTTTTTATTTCCCATTAACTTGGTATGACAAAGACCTGAATTTTGAAGAAATAAACAATTCACCACTCAATTCCTTGCTTCTCTGCTGGTGTCTGTTACCATGGATATATTAATATAGCAGTGGTGGTTTTGCATTTCAATCAAAATCACAGTTCTTCAGAGATTGAGGAGCCAGCATCCTGCTGGTCCTCCTCCATCTAGCCTTGCCTCCCTCTCCCATCCATTCTCAATACAACCACCAGAGTCATTTACCAAAAAGTGGAGACCAACTATGGTACCCAACCCCCCTTCTTAAATTTCACAGTCCTTCTCCATAGCTCCCTGGATAAAGATCAAACTTCTTAGTGTGACATCCAAGTCCTTTGATGGTACAGACCCTGTCTACCTCTAATCATATCTCTTGCTTCCCCTCACCTGAAAGCCAAACCGAACTACTTGCATTCTTTGAGTCCACACTGGCCACTGCACTTTTTCCAAACTCCTATTTATTACAAGGTAGGCTCACACGTCACCTGTTTGGGGAAGCATCTTTTGAATGCGTTCTCTCTCCTTATTTCTATCAGTCACCCCCCGCTTACCTATTCCCACATCCTTTAATTGACATCATCCTTCTGGTCCTCCATGTTGTGCACTGGTTTGTGAACTTCGTGGGGACGCGTGGCACGGCCTATCACCTTTGCCCAGCCTATGGCCTTTGCAAGACCTGGCCAAACACTGTGCTCGCACTGAGAAGTCTGAGGGACAGACGAAGGGATGACCTTCAGCCAGCCCATTCGGAAGAACCTCCCCAGATGGACCGTGTGGACCCCAAGGCTCAGATCCAGAGGATTGCTGCTGATACTTGCGATGCCGGACCCCAGGTTCTAACTACACCACGCGGCTGTTGCGCAAACCCACTGCCAGGAAGTCATCGCCATTCAGCCCTGGAATGAGAATATGCCTGGGGCATGCTCATCGGGGGGACTGTCAGGAGTCTAGCCAGCTCCATTTCCCTGGCTGCTTCTGAGTTACAGAGCCGGGCAGTGAGTTGTCACAGACGCCCAGCCTCTCATCAGCTCTCGGGTGTGTGTGTGTGACTGCCTGCAGTTATATTCACACCCACGGACACTGAGAACTAAGCGGTGTTTTTCTTTTTAAGCCATGAGGAGTCTCATCAACCCAGGGATATAATTAATACCTAAAACGTTGGAATTAAAAGCCCCCTTTTTTGGTCTGGGTGAAATTCCGTGTGTACTGTACAATAAGTAGGTCTTTCTAATGGAGTAAAACTGCTCTGGTGGTTAACAAGATTCAAATGATGGAGGTAACCTAGCATCAGCTTTGAAATTTTCTCCATGGTGTGAGGGGAGTATAAAGAAGATCTATTTCTATAGCTGCTCAGGGTATGTTATCTTTGTTCTATTGCAAAAGCTCTTGGCCATGCCACCGCGACTAGGGAAAGGTGGGTTGCTTCTGTGTCCTCCTTCTCTCTCTCCCCCATTAGTGCAGGGCCACCCACCAGCATAGTGAATTCCAGTGCCCGGAGAACTCAGGATACTGCTAAGAGAGACCCATGTGAAAAGGGAAGATGGTTGGGAGAGAGATTTAGCATCAGGCACCAGGGAGAGGGTCCGGCAGTAGTTGTGGTGGCTTTAGGAAGGCCTGGGATGGTTAAGGGTATAAGACCTGGCAGATGTGAAGAACTGGCAGGTGGCAGAACACACCTAGGTAAAGACTGAGCTTCTAGAACGAGGTGGAGGCAAACGATCTATTGACAGGTAAGTGGGATCAAAAAACATCCCCCAGTTTCTAAAAGGTGTGTTTGTAGACCTTTATACTGAGGCTTGCAGGTAGGGAACTGAGGCAAGGACTTCTGCTTGGAAGAACAATGTAAGGACCCCATAGAAAGAAGAGGCTTAATCACAGGGCAAAAAGCAGGAGTGAGCTCTTGGACATGGATGGAATTATTATCATATGGACAGCCTCCCTCTCCTGTAATGCTAAGCTGGGGGACTTGTCTGCTCCCTTGGCCTCTGCAGTTGGGCTGATCAAGGTAAAGGATAGAAAGACCAGCAGGAATGGAGGTGGGCTCCCAACGGTGCTGGAAAGCAGAAGACAGAAATGTCATTTAGCCCCACCCGGCTTGGCTCAGTGGATAGAGCATCTGCCCGCGGACTGAAGGGTCCCAGGTTCGATTCTGGCACCTACCTCAGTTGAAAGCTCGATCCCCAGCCCTGGTGAGGCGTATGTGGCGGCAACCTCTCTCACACTGATGTTTCTCTCTCTGTCTCTCCCCCCTCCTTTCCACCCTTTATAAAAATTAATGGGAAAATATCCTTGGGTGAGGATTAAAAAAAAAAAAAGAAATATCATTTAGAGATGTTTGAACTCTGCCTCTGTTTTCCTAATACGTCTTCCCTGGGCTCTGAGCTGAGTTATTTTCGGATGCTCCTTTGGTGAATCTAATATACAGCTAAGGTGGAGAGCCACTGTGTTAAATGCCGCACCGATGACTAAGCACGCTGGGGACAAATGGCGTCTCTCTCTCTCTCTCTCTCTCTGTCTCTCTCTCTCTCTCTCTCTCTCTCTCTCTCTCTCTGTCTCTCTGTCTCTCTCTTCTCTCTCCTCTCTGCTCTCTGTCCTCTCTTTCTCTCTCTCTGCCTCCGTCCTCTCTCTTTCTCTCTCTGCCTCTCTCTCTCTCTCTCGGCCTTCTGTCTCTCCTCTTTCTTTCCTTTCGCTCTTTCTCTCTCTGTCTCTCTGTCTCCTCTCTCTCTGTCTCTCTCTCTTCTCTCTCTGTCTCTCTCTCTCTCTGTCTCTCTCTCTCTCTGTCTCTCTGCCTCTCTCTCTCTCTGTCTCTCTCTCTCTCTCTCTCTCTGTCTCTCTGCCTCTCTCTCTCTCTCTGTCTCTCTCTCTCTCTGTCTCTCTCTCTCTCTCTGTCTCTCTGCCTCTCTCTCTCTCTCTCTCTCTGTCTCTCTGCCTCTCTCTCTCTCTCTCTCTCTCTCTCTCTCTCTCTCTCTCTGCCTCTCTGTCTCTCTCTTTCTCTCTGCCTCTCTCTCTCTCTCTCTCTCTCTCTCTCTCTCTCTCTCTCTCTCTCTCTCTCTCCCCCTCTCTCGATTTCTTTCCACCTGCAGTGCTGCAGCAGGTTAGCTGGGTTGTATATTTAAAGTGTAAAGAGCTCCCAGGAGGAAACATAGATTCAGGAAGGCAGTTAGGCACAAAGGAGAGAAACCTCCGTGAGAGATTGGAGACAGTCTCTCAGGCAGCTGTTGAGATCAAGTCCTAGGGCGAGATGGCTGGAGAGGAGAATGATCAGCGAGTTATCTGTGAGTTGTGAATGGTGGTCTTTTTGAGAAATTCTGGTGGGCATCTGAGTCATCTTCCCAGTGATCTAGGGCAGTGGTCGGCAAACTGCGGCTCGGCAAGCTGCGGCTCGCGAGCCTCATGTGGCTCTGTGGCCCCTTGAGTGTGGCTCTTCGACAAAATACTGACTTCTGCACATGGGCCACGAAGTTTCAATCGCACTGTACGTGCGCGCCCCCACGTGATATTTTGTGGAAGAGCCACACTCAAGGGGCCAAAGAGCCACATGTGGCTCGCGAGCAGCAGTTTGCTGACCACGGGTCTAGGGGGTAGGCATGGGGATGGCATCCTGCCCACTGAGCTGGGAGGTGGTGGGAGAGCAGATTTATTTGTGCCAGCCTTCTTTCGGGCCTTGTTGCCACTCCTCCTGCCTCCAGTTGCTGCCAGCCTCTTTCCTGCAGGAATGGCCTTCTCCTCCAGGTCCTCACAGCCTGGTTGGAAGGACACAGGAGGTTGGTCTCAAGTGCCATGGGGAGCAGAGGAGAAGCAGTAATGGGGGATGGTTATTACGATGGGGTCGGGAGGACGGGTTGGGAGATTGAAAAGGAGGTGATTTTCAAGTTGGTTTCTAGCCAACTCATAAAACGACAAACAAGAATTGGCTGGCGGATGAGGAAAGGGGAAGGGCTGAAGCGGGCTGTTCAGAGCAGGGGGAGCGCATCGCCAAAGCCCCGGAGGAGCAGAGAACAGGTGCTGACGGACCTGCTGAGCGCTGGGCCTGGTTGGCGTTTCGTGTCTGTGGCAGAAGCAGCCATCTCTTTAAGGGCCTGACATCGGACAATAAAGGATTTAAATATTTTTCTCGAGAGTTTCAGGAGCCATGAGAGGATTTTGAATAAGAGAATTATATTAGAGCTGGATTTTAGAGGAATCTCAAAGCTGTGTTGAGGGCAGACATGGAGGCAGAGAAGGAGTCTCATTGGAAGGTCATTCAAGAGACTCCAGAGGAAAGAATGTCAAGGCAGGGTCTAGGGCAGAGCCATCAGCAAAACAGAGGCAGAGTTCAAACATGTCTAAATGATGTTTCTGTCTTCTGCTTTCCAGTGCCTTAGGGGCCCACCTCCCTACACCCCTGCAGGTCTTTCTCTCCCTGACCTTGTTCAGCGCAATAGCAGAGGCTAAGGGAGCACCCAAGGCATCAGTGTGTGATCCGGAAGGAAAATTTGAAAGAACAGATCCATTTGGAGTGAAGAGTTGAGGAAGAGGGAGCAGTTGAAGGTGGTTCTGAAGAAGCTGGTTAGAGAGCCAGGTGGAAAGGCAGGTCAGTCCCAGGGCTGGGGGCCTCAGAAAGGAGCAGCTGGGGGAAAGAGGCCGACGTCGGTGTACAGATACCCCTGCTTACAGGGCACAGACGTAGATGCTCCAAGGGGTGGGCATCAGAGAGCCAGGGAGCCAATCAGACTGTCAAGTAGATGACAGAATCTCCGCGCCCCCCCCCCCCCGCCCCCGCCAATGTGGGATGGTTGGTCTTGAGCCTGCAGGGAGCAAGCGGGCTCCAGATTTCTCCACATCCATATTTCTTTGCCTCCAATTATTTTATGTCCAAAGACAGGGAACCACAGACATGCCTTTGTAGCATGGTGCTGGCATCTTATTTACAACCCATGGGTCTATCAGGGTTGTTTCCCTTTGTCACTCCTTCCACTCTGGACTTGTGCCTTCCAGGTGATTTCAGAGAGGAAGGCAGAGGGATAGAGAGTTAGAAACATGGATGAGAGAAATATCAATCAGCTGCCTCCTGTGCACCCCCTACTGGGGATTGAGCCCGCAACCACAGGCATGTGCTCTTGACCAGAATCAAACCTGGGACTATTTAGTCTGCAGGCTGATACTCTAGCCCAGGGGTGGGCAAACTTTTTGACTCGAGGGCCACAATGGGTTCTTAAACTGGACCGGAGGGCCGGAACAAAAGCATGGATGGAGTGTTTGTGTGAACTAATATAAATTCAAAGTAAACATCATTACATAAAAGGGTACGGTCTTTTTTTTTTTTTTTTTTTTTTTTTTTTTTTTTAGTTTTATTCATTTCAAACGGGCCAGATCCGGCCTGGGGGCCGTAGTTTGCCCACGGCTGCTCTAGCCACTGAGCAAAACCAGCTAGAGCAGGTGGACATATTTCAAGGGCTTGGAATTTCTCTACGGGGTGGTTTTGCAAACCTGGACGTCCATCACAATCACACAGAGGTCTTATAAAAAAAAATACAGATTCTAGAATTTACATGAGAATCCTTGAAGTTAGGCCCTGGAAATACTTTATTAGCAGGCTCCCCATCTGGTTTTATTCAAAGCTCGGCTGATGTTAATAACCCTAGCAGGGCCAGGGCATGTGGCCTATGTTGTCACACAGGGCTCTGTGCTCAGAAGGGAACCACAGACATGGTTCAATGCTCTGCTGTCACTTCTTGAAATTCTTTGAACTATATTTGGAAAGTGAAGTCTATGGGACAGTAGATCAGAGATGCAATGTTGGCTGTTTCTTGTCACCCTGTTCACATGTAGTGTCTGTGATATCCCAGGAGAACAGAATGCCCACAACCCCAGGAATTCACTGAGACTCCACCAAGTGCAAGACAAGCATGTTCATCTAACAGCTGAAGAGGTAGAGGTGCTGACAATTCTCAGAGGCCATGCTTTCCAGTTGAACCAGGATTTACTTCAAGCACAGAAAAGCAATGGTGGTCTAAGAAACATGAATAACCAGGACCTTCTCATTCCTTTCTTTCTCCCACTGTTTCCCACTATCAGCTAATTATTTACACCAAAAATGATGGCAGAGAGGGAAAGGAAAGAGAAGGAAGTCCCTAGTGTTTTTCCTTTCCATCCTTCCTTAGCCAATAGCAGGCCTAAGGTCGTGTGGACAGATGTGCATGGATCAAGGGGTGAAATAGACACAGCTGACAATTCCGTGCAGCGCCTCTACTGTTCTGACAAGAAAGAATCCCAGATGCCTGCACAAGCTGTGCACTACCAGCTGTGCAGCTTCCATGATCATGCCTATGAGTGAGAAGCTCTTATATTTGCATTTCAAACCAGCGTTGCACAATATAGAAATGAATGGTAAAGTTCATGCTCACAATTTAACATTTTAATTCTTCTTAATGTGGACTCACATAAATAATAAATAAAAGGCGCTATAAGAAGTTGAGAGACCCCCAAAGAAAAGCAAAATGCTTTTAGTATGTTTAATGGCCTTGTGTCTCTGCTTCCTGAACAAGGAGCCCTGCATGTTCATTTTGCAATCGGCCCCACAGAGTCTGTAGTCGTCTGGAAGGGGGACCTTTGTTGCCCTTATAAAGCAAACCAGGAAAGAAGAGCAAAATGAAACTAGATTGGCCTGTGCATCTGGGGTTGCTGGGAGCCTGTGTAAGTAGATGAGACACAGACTCGCGGGGGCAGGAAACCTACAAGGTTTGTGGGGTGATGCTGATGCACAGGGCCCTCGAGAGGCCACACAGCTGCTGGGTGGCTGGGCCTGCACCTGAGACAGACAGCGTGACTGCAGAACCCACGTCCATGCAGCAGAGAAAGGGAAGCAAGTGTCTGACTGCAGCTGTGTCACCTCCCGAGTGCTCCCTCCAAGGAAGAAGGGGGACAATCATATCTCCTAGCAATTTCCTAAGGATCCAGTGATGTTGAATGTTAAGCACCAGCAGGTGCTGACCTAGCACATACTAGGTCCTCAATCAATGCATGTTTTATTCCTTTCCTTTCCGCTGTGGGCTGCCCTTAGCTTTGTGAACTCCACTTTCTCCCCCTGCTTCATATAAAAAAGCTGGTCCCCGTGCAGGAGCACACATCTGCTCCCAGTTAACTTTTGGAGTAGAATTGTTCTTTTCATTTTCCCCCCCTCCTTCCTTAAAGCTATAGCGGTCTTCCTTGCTTCAGTGCATTTCTCTGACCCAACAAAAATTTTTGGAGAGTCAACCATGAAGATCAAGTAAAGTGACTTGAAGTTATAGTTTGTTACCATCCATTTATACATCTCATGCCACTATCCTGTAATTTATTGTAATGGGAATTTCTTGGCTTAACACATAATAATATAAGCAATGCCATACTTCAAACAGCCACCAATGCTATCCACTACTTTTATTCTCAAATTCAGTGTTTTGCTAGAACATTATTCTTTGAGTAACTTTGAGAAATATATGATACAATGAAGTGTTTGCTTTTTTCTCTTTCTTTTTTAAATGAAAAGAATTGGAACTAAGTCATTTGGCACACAGAGCACAAACCCACAAGGACTCTTAATGAAACCAGGTTTAGGAAGAATATTTTTTGACAAAGCAAAGGATAGTTGTTGGATATTATCCGCTGATGCTAAGAAGGAAGGGTTTAGAGAGATTATGTTGTACAAGCGATAAAAGGGAGGAAGGAAACAATAAGAAAGGACTTTAGATGAATAGTAGTTAAAAGCAATGAGAGCCCTGACCAGTTTGGCTCAGTGGATAGAGTGTCGGCCTGCGGACTGAGGGGTCCCGGGTTTGATTCCGGTCAAGGGCATGTACCTTGGTTGCGGGCACATCCCCAGTGGGAGGTGTGCAGGAGGCAGCTGATTGATGTTTCTCTCTCATCGATGTTTCAAACTCTCTATCCCTCTCCCTTCCTCCCTGTAAAAAATCAATAAAATATATTTTTTAAAAAAGAGCAATGAAATCTAGCAAGTGAATAAAAATTCTTTCTGAATGCATAGAAAAACAAACAAACAAACAAACAAACAAATTTGGTCTCCCTTTGGCTAGAAAGACAAGTCATAACTGAATTCTACAGTTCCTGCTAGGCAGAGAGCTCTGAAGTGGTGTGTTGTGGTGAACCATGCTTAGCCTTTTATTTATTTTTTATTTTAAATATATTTTTTATTAATTTCAGAGAGGGAGAGGGAAGTATTTACTACTGGATTGTTTGCTTGTGGTTGGTTTTTAAACCTAAAGGTTTTACTATTAAAAAAAATATTGTTATTTATTTCAGAGAGGAAGGGAGAGGGAGAGAGATATAGAAACATCAATGATGAGGGAGAATCATTGATCAGCTGGCAGTGATGGCGAACCTATGACACGTGAACTCATTTTTTGGTTGATTTTTCTTTGTTAAATGGCATTTAAATATATAAAGTAAATATCAGAAATATAAGTCTTTGTTTTACTATGGTTGCAAATATCAAAAAATTTCTATATGTGACACAGCACCTGAGTTAAGTTAGGGTTTTTCAAAATGCTGACACGCCGAGCTCAAAAGGTTCGCCATCACTAGCTTATGGCTATGAGAGGGTATATTCAGAGTTTAGAAAGAAAGCTCAGTCTATATGAATGAAGAATTAGATAAGTGTGAATGATTTTAGAAAAATAATGGAAGACATGGAATTAGAATCAAAGCTAAAGGGCTGCAAAGGAAAAATATATCTAGGTTGAATGGAATCTCACCTATCAGAACAGTACATATTGAGTGGTATAGGATTCTAGACACTTGAGCCATTTTTACCCCATAGTCAGTGACAGTCTCTGCTTTAGTGGGTGCTCACCTAAAACTAAGATGACTGGAGACTTTGAAGGAACTCTTAAGGAGCATCCAGTCTGTTGATTCTAAGATCTGTACGGCTTCTAATCACAGTGGCCGGCACTCAGCCTCCTGTTCTGTGGATGGAACCATTCAGCTATGGATATTCCAGAGCTTTGAAAGCATCAGAACCATACACAGCCATGTCCATGAGGTGCCTTCTTTTGTCATTGTGTATATTGGAGACCATGTAGTGTCTACTTCAAGGGATTCGATTATTAAAATATGGGCAACGTAAACTGGCTGCTGCATGTGGCCAAATCAAATGGCGCCCCGACTTCCAGCTGTGCTGGTGCAGACTGTGGGTCGAGGGTGACAGTGACAGCACACGCCATGCTGTGCTCAGAGCACATGGAAATGGGACAAAATGCATTTCCTGGGGCTACAGAGGGCCCGCATTTTTCTGTCTCCTGAACAAAAGGATCTGAGACTAGAAAAAGTAGAGAGTCTGGTTTTCTCTTGCTGTCTGCTGTCCGAGATAAGACCATGAAAACAAGGAATGTAAGCACCAGTTTATGGGTAAACTTGAATTTCCATAAGATGGAACCATATGTGCCTCCTGGGAGTACAGAAAAAAACAGTGCAAATGTGGGCTGGAGTTTACTGATTTGTACTTGGCCCTCGTCTTTTTCTTGTCCTCCGGATGTTCCTCTATGACACCCAGGTTACCCCATTGAACTATGCTTAAATGAACATTCACTCTTCATGCAAATTTAAAAAGGGTTGGTAGTGGAAGGGGATGTGTGAGGATCTACATATTTTTGTCATTTTTAATCCTGTTTGAGCACTGGTCAAATATGATAATCTTATACATTTCTTAGTCAGTAAAGTGAATTAGTTTACTAAAGCCAAAGATATTTAATTTCACGAAAACTAAGATTGGGTAGTTTGAGGTTGTCAGGAAGAAATTTTCACGATTTCCAGTTCACTCTCATGTGATTACAGAAGAAGATAATGAGCATTTTTCTGTTGCAAAAAAAATTGAATATGAACATCTACTGTCAGCTATGTTTATAAAATGCCTCGGC